AGTAAAACCTTGAATAATATAGATTATAAATTCTAAAGGAATTAGAAAAGTGTCATAGCATACTATAAACAAGGAATTGATCATTGGACTTAATCAGACCTAAGTCCAAATCCTAGCTCTGACTGTATAAACTTGGGCAGGTCCCTTAATTTCTGAGCCTCAGGTGCCTCATCTGTAAAATGAAGCTGATAATCCCAGCTAGCTCTGCTTATCTATATACAGGATTGTAATGAGAATCAAGTGAGGATGAATGTGAAAACACTATAGAGTTTCTAATTATTGAAAGACCTGAGAATTTGAAACAAGGCCTTGAGAAATATGTTCTACATGGATAACTTGAAAGGCTAGATGAAAGTGGTCTCAGAGAGGGAACAGCTTGAACAGAGAGGAGGATGAGACTCAGATACAGGAGGACAGTATAAAACCTTCTAATTATAGCAAAGATCTGTTTTGGGAGAATGGGCAAAAAAAAATAGTTACACTGATTGTGTTGGAGAGAATGGAATTGAGGGTAATATGCCATAAGGACTGGATTATAGTAGGATTTAAATTATGGAGGATCTGAAGGCTAAAAGTGAAAGTTTGGACTTGTTCTGAAAGGGAATAAGGAACTATTTAGGGAGTCTGAGTAAGGAATTATTATAAAAGTATTTAACTCTTAGTTATTTTGATAGTATCTTAGAAAGTGCCTGGCATACAAGTATTCAAAATTAGTCTAACTGAAATCAGTCAATCTATCAACAATATATAGGATGAATTAGACACATCTGCACCTAGAGTCTAAGCTTCTTATCACCTAGATTATTAGTCTGGTTCATCTTTTTCTTTAACTGCCTAGCTAGTAGGTTTATTTCAAACATCAAATAAGATGATGATGCCACCATTATCTACAAATACATTAAATGCTTCCTTCACATAGGATGCTGTGTAAAGAAACTAGGGAAACAAACAAAAAACTATAGATATAAATGCCTTGGAAAATGTCTTGTGATGAATATTAGCTTGAAAGGCAGCGTTCTAAGGGATTTGGCAGCAAGAGGATGGTATACAACAGCCAGAAGATCTTAACTGCTATATTTAGTACTGGGTTAGGTCCCTATTACTGTCAGGACCTGCTAGGCATAGCTAGGATCAAATAGAGGAGGAAATACCAAGTGCAGTAAGGTAAGTAAGATCTCCAGGAGTTCTTCCTGTTGGCAATAGAACTTTTCAGACTTAACCTGTTCCATAGTGAACCTCCATCATCATGGAGACAGTGTAGAGTACTGGTTAAGGAAACAGGTTCTGGAGCCAGAATAACTGGCTGGGGTTGAAATACTGCTATATAACCTTAAATTATTCCACCTCTATGAGCCTCATAAAGAGAAAAATAGAATCATAGTTTGTGAGAATTAAGTTGAGATACTGCATGTAAACTCTTAATAGAGGATCTGGTGCACCATGAATGTCAGCTCAACAAATGTCCGTTATTGTTTTTATTTTCAAGACCTTCTCAATTCCTCTAGCCTTCATTTTTTTGTTACTCCCAATTAACTTTCTGTTTTTCTATCTCTTGTCTCTCCCCATTCCAGGACACTGAAAGCCACATTTGGCTCATTTACCTCTAGTATGTTCTAGAGTATTAGCATCAAACAAGATCCTAAAATATCTTCTGGATTTAAAATTATATTATCTTCAAGTAGTTCAAGTTATTACATATATTTTGTTATAGTCTAAGTAATTCTTTGAAATCAATGTCCATAATATAGTTTTTCATTTTTCTTTAAATTAAGTCTATTTTTCTAGTTTCTCTCCATAAGCATGTGTCATATACATATATATATATATATATATTTTTTTTTTAATGTAGTATGTAAAAGATGGGATGTAGGATAGGATCTTGAGCCCTGGGTTAATTTATAGATCACAGGATAAGAGGCACTAAGATTCTATGGGAAAATAAAAAACTAAACCTTTTAGGAGGGCAATTTAATCATATCTAACAATTCCTAAGATGTTTAAAATATTTTAACTAACTGCCAATTCCACCTCTAGGTATAAATCCAAGAAATATATTCACATATATGCATAAAGATTGCGTGAAAGTATGTTCATAATGATATTGTATGCAATGGTTAAGACTGTAAGCATCTTAAATATCCATCAGTAGAGGACTATTTAAATAAATTATATATAATTGTAAAATAGAATACTATGCACTCCTTTAAAAGAATGCGGCAAATCTATATAAACATAGGAAAATGTCTAAGATATAGTGATCAGTGGAGGGGAAAGCAAGAAGCAGAATAATATGTGTAATGTATAGAATTCTATGCTATGTGCATGTGTGTTTCTTAAAAGGGAGCTAAAATATATTAATGTTTACGTATGCAAGGAAAATTTCTGGAAACATTAACAATCATCCCTGGGAGTAGGATGATGGGGATGAGAAGAGTGACTTTTTACTTTTCTGAATACTGAAAAAAAAAAAAAAACCATAAGTACATATTACTTTTTCAAATGAGTAAAAATAAACAAAATTTTTAAAAACTGGAAAAAAAAGTTTTAATCATTCAGCATGTGTATAAAAAAAGTGTATAAAAATGTGTGTATAAAAAAATTCAGCATGTAATAAAAAATAATTTTTAAATAATAAAGAAGTAAAGAAATAAAATGTTTAAAGAGATAGAATGGGGATTAAATTGTTAAATGTTTTATAAGGTGTGTTGAATGTGAAAAGTGATCTATAAATGCCTATTATTTTTACTAAACAATAGCATGTGGGGCTTTTGTAACCTGAAGAAAGCAGCATTTCAGCATCTCTTCCTACTGGAGCATATGGTGGTTAAGACCACGGGGGATAAATGCCTTAGAGATTGCCTCTCCTGGAGTTGATATGCAGATCTTTTCAGTATTCCCCATTGCTCTTATGTGGAAAGTTCCATGGCAAGGACTAGAAGGGTTCAGTGACATTGTTCTATCCAGTGTTTAAAACTATTGTCTGATACTCTTTTAAATAAAACTATTAGCCACATGGTGATTGCAAAGGATTGCTTTTAAGAGCCTTTGTTTACAGAGTTTGGTTTATTGTATGAAGAGTGCCTTTGAGTAAGTGTAGTGAGATACCTCTTGGTGCTGTCTCGGCAACAAGTTAGGAACTTGGATGTATTATCTTGAGAGTTTTACAGATTAACAGGATTTTACAGATTAACAGGAGACAGAATGTTGTGCTACTCCAGGTAACAGACTTTCTGTTTTGTAACTCTTTAAAGTGTTGGTTTTCTCCCTTTTGACACTCAGGGGATTAATTTACTATTTATTTCTGTAGATCACACCCTTGGAGAAAACAAAAATACAAATAGGCCTTCTGACAGATATAATCATATTTTCTTATGACTAAGTATATTTAAAATAAAGTTATATAAGTTAATACTATTATTTAAAAACTTGTAAACACAGGGGCACCTAGGTGGCTCAGTTGGTTAAGCATCTGCCTTGGCTCAGGCAGGAAGCCTGCTTCTCCCTCTCCCACTCCCCCTGCTTGTGTTCCCTCTCTTGCTGTGTCTCTCTCTGTCAAATAAATAAAATCTTTAAAAAAAAAAATCCAATATATTTTATTTTAAAATCTCAGATCAAATTATGATTTTCAGAAGGGTAATCTCCCCAACCTTTCTCTTAACTCTCTTAAGCTTACAGAGCCATTAAGTCCCAAGTGTAGATTTTTGTGCCGTACATTCTTTCAAGTACTTTACGTCTATTAACTTAATCCTCACAGTAACTTCATAAATGAGGTACTAATACTGAGTCACAGATTAAGTAACTATTCAAAGTTCACAGCTAATGGTGACACTAGGATTCAAACCCAGCCTAATAATTCCAAGGCTAGGACTTTTCTTCCAAGTAAAATTAACATACAGCTTTATATTAGTTTCAGGTGTACAATATAATAATTCAACAATTCTATACATTTCTCAGTGTTCATTAAGATAAGTGTACTGTTAATGCTCTTCATCTATTTCACCCATCCCCCCCTCCCTTCTGGCAACCACCAGTTCTCTGTATTTAGGGTTCTAGTTTTTTGTCTCTTTTTTGTTGTTGTTCATTTGTTTTGTTTCTTAACTTCCACATATGAATGAAACCATTGATATTTGTCTCTCTCTGACTGACTGATTTCACTCAGCACTATTACCTCTTCGGTCCATCCATGGCAAGATTTCATTCTTTTTTATGGCTGAGTAATATTCTATTTTTAACTGCTGGGCTCTACTGCTTTGAACTCTATGACTGTTTATCTTAAGTAGATTAAATGCATTTTTCAGGATTTCTAGGCTGAATGAAATTCCTTTCCTAAGGCTCCCAACTCTAACAAAAATAGATTTGGGGACCTTCCCTTAGTGTTTTATTATCCCATTTTACAGATGAAAATCATTGACTTAGCCAAAATCTTAGTTTATTAAATGGTCATGTTAGAACTAGAGCTTAGGTCCTCTGGTTTCTAGTCTACTGCTTTTGGCACTTTAACACTATCACTTTTTAGCTCATTAGCTACCTTCCATTCAAGTGATCCACCCAGGTTGAAATTTTGTTACAGCAGCAAAAGCATACCCACATCCTTCATTCACATTTAAGGGCACTTTCCTGTCTGTCGTGGAATTCCTGTCGGTCAGCAAGTAAGTCTCTGGTTTTACAGTGTTTACACCTTAAGGAGATACTATGAAGACATAGTAACAGAAGCACCTTATGGATACAAGGGACATCTATTAAAAGCATCTAATGTTTTTAACATATAATTCTATAAAAAAATTTGGTCATAGCTAATGCTGTCAAGAGCCAAAATAACATTTTAAAATATTCATATTTCTGTGCCTTGAAATGGTCAGCAAATGACATGACAAAATGTATTTTAAATCTTCTAACTCAAGCAAGAGTATGAAGAAATGCAGCAATTTTTCTTCAGGGCCTTTGTGCAGATTTTTTAAAGCTCCTTCTGACTTCATGTGGAGTAGAAAAGTAGCTTAGTTTATTTCATGTTAGTCTAATTTGGAATCATTTTTTAATTCCTAGATGCTTGGGTACAGAGAGCTTGCTCCCTAGAGCCTTGTTTCCTGACAGTGGAGAGTAAAGGATTAAATTGAGCTGAAACTAAATTGATTGACATTTTGACACTGCAGATTGTGAAAAGAAAGGGAATTTGTTCAACTTTTTAAGACAGTAGCAGAACTATTCCCTTAAAGGTACCCCAGTTTGCAAAGATGATTTAGTTTTTTTTCTTAAAAAAAAATTATGAGGCACGTTCTAGCACTTTCCCAATTTCCTATCTTACAGTTCAAAGCGAGAATTTAACTTTGAAAGCTTTTGAAAAGGCCTGGATGGGGGTGTTAAAATAGACTCCGCTGAACAGGCACTGGCAGAGGTCTTTTGAGGGGAAACAAAGGACTGTATGCACTTCTGGGGTGTCACTATAGGAACCTATCTATAAAAGACAAATATACATATTTATGAAATCCTTATCTTTAGCGTTTTTTAAATGCCAGAGATATTAAGTGTGAATTGAGTAAGATACATTTCCTGCTGACTTCTTTTTCAGACAGATATAGATGATTACCATTTCATCATTTTCGTAAACGGCATCATTTAGTACTGACTCCAATAAAATCCCATCTCTGCTGTCATGAAGGGAACTGGACTCACCTTAACAGTGCTCTTCTAAACAGCCTGCTGCCTTTTTTTGATCACTGCCAGGAGGCTGTAATAAATTACAGCCTGGAAGAAGTTTCAAACTGGCAAGTTTGCCAGATATTTAAAGCAATTTATTTCGGGGTGTATCAGCAGATTTTTTCTTACACTGCCATTTGGGTGCCTGCTGACACAGCCTGAATAAATCTTTCAAACATTTTCCTTACTAGAGATGGATGAAGACGATGATGCACTGGACTCTGGACCTTTAATTAACTCTTCACTTGCCAACTGGTTCTTTCCTATTACCAGATCTGTAGGAAACTTAGATCCCTATTTCCAGCATGAGTTTGCAATATTTCAAATCTCTCAGTGCCTTGGCAACAACTTTAAGTTTTATGGAAGGCAAAATAACAAAAGAGTTACTGGTTTTAGGCATAAAATATATAATTTAGATTATTCATTTCTAGTATTTAGAAAATTGCCAAATTTCCTAATAGGAAAAGAGATCTTAAAAATTATATAAAACAAAGACTTGTTTCTAATTTTAGTCTCTTTTATCTTATAATAGGATAGTGAAGTCATTTTAAAAATTATTACTAATTCTGGCTCTAGATCCAAAGACAGTTTTATTGATATAGGTTTTACTGATACATAATTTAGTCAGGTATTCAGAAAAGCATAACATGCACATGCCTGAAAATATTTGTTCTCATGAGACTGGAAGGGCAAGAGATGAGGGAACTAACTTTTACTGTGTGCCTGCACCAGGCCAGCCCCATTTGTAAACCACTATATAGCATGCAGGAGAGAGAGGAGAGATTTATTTTATGAAGAGCTACTTCCTGGTCAGGTGAAAGGCATTGCTCAGTGAGTTGTTAGGAATATGATAAAGCTTAAACTCATGAAGGCATCAGGATATAGGGTTTGGTAGGAAAAGCCCCACCTAACCCAGAAATCATAAAACTGGGGTTCCTATCTAAGTGATGTCACTTACAAATGAGGTCATCTGACTAGACCCTGAATATTTATTTCTACATCTGTAAAGTGAGGATATACTCTCTAGTCTTCTCCATCTCCTAGATCATTTGGCACGGTAGTTATCAACCATGGCTGTACGTTGTAATCACCCAGGGAGCTTTGAAAAATATTGATGTCTAAGATCTCAATCTCAAGAGATTCTGATTTGATTGGTCTAGGGTGCAGCCAAGCATTGGGGTGTTTAAAATCCCCACAGGTGATTCATATGTGCAGCTAAGGCTGTGAATCCTTGGTTTGGAGAATCGTTAGGAAAGCCCTTTATAAATTTACAAGGGTTAGCAGATGTTATGGACAATGTAAATAGGGTTTTTTCCCCGTCATAACTTAAAATGTTCTGCTTCAAAAAAAAAAAAAAAAATCCAAGGGTCCCTCGGTGGCCCATTGAGTTAAGCCTCCCACTCTTGATTTCGGATCAGGTCACGATCTCAGGGTCGTGAGATGAGCCCTGCATCCGGCTCCCCACTGGAGTGGAGCCTGCTTGGGATTCTCTCTCTCCCTCTTCTCCCACCCCTCTTCTCTCTTTCTTAAAAAACAAAACAAAACAAAAGCCTATCTCTGAATTTCCCTAGCCCTTAATATATAGAAAACCGTTGTTAAGTATTCGTTGCATTTGTGAATGAACGGCCTTTCAAAGTTTTAAGAACATTTGAAAAATGGGGTTTCGGGTTCAATATGTAGAGTCGTTCAAGAAGCAGGACCTTTCTATGGAAACATTCCCAAGAACCACTAGCCTTTCTTGCCCACGCCAAGCTCGCTTCAATCCCTAACGCGCGTTCCCCACATACGGAGATGCACGCAGCAGTGTCGGGTGGGTGCCACGAGCTCCGGGGCGGAGCGCCCAAAGGGCCGACCCTTTCGGCTCTTCGGACTCTTCCCCGCCCTCTGGGCCAGCCCCGCCGCAGGGCCCCGCCCCGGACGCGGGTTGGGGCGGGTTGTTGGCGGCGCCCGGCCGCCGAGACTACACAGCCGAGCCCTAGGGCTACGGCGACTGTCTCCGCGCGGTCCGGGGGGCCCAGTTTGGACGCGGGGAGCCGGGGCTGCCCGCGCCTCTGGCCCGACGGAGCCCGACGCGAGCGCCTCGTGCCCGAGTGGGGCTGGGGCCAGGATGCGGAGCTGCGAGCCTTGAGCCGGCCCCATGACCCTGAGCACGTTGGCCCGCGAGAGGAAGGCGTCCCCCGCCTGCACCTGCAGCCTCGGGGGCCCCGACATGATCCCTTACTTCTCCGCCAACGCGGTCATCTCGCAGAACGCCATCAACCAGCTGTGAGTGCGCCGCGCGCCCTCCCGCCCTCGGCGAAAGCTGGGAAAGTTTGCTTTTCAGCAGCCACTTTGGCCAGCATCCTGGGGAGCTAGCGAGCGAGCGAGGGCGAAATCGCACTCTGCGGGCTTGACGGTTTCGACGTGTCCGGGGGGTATAGAGGGGTGGAGGTGTGGGGTAATTCTTGGAGGCAGAACGTGTCCCCGGGGGTTGGGCGGATTGAAGAACCATTTGCGAGAATTTCTGATAAACTTTGAGGGAATCTGAAAGTGCAGTCGTCCCTGGGAAGTTGTGGTGGCCGAGTGACAGCCAAGCGGGAGACTCTAGGGGGAGGGCGGTCTGTAGCTCCTGAAACGCCGCCCGGAAACGCTTGGACCTCCCTTGCGGGTCCTGCTGGTGATCAAGCTCCCGTGTTTGTTGTTTGGGGTTTTTTTGTCGTTTGGAGTAAGTTTGCGTGTGACTATAGGTTTCTGTTGCAAGCCGTTAACACAAAGGAAGGCTGTCAGTTCTTTGCTCCAGCTGGTTGTAGTCTGGAATTATTTTTAAAAATTGGATTTCAGTAGTTTGGCTGTTTTACTTTTAGTCTCCCCCTGTAGTAGTACAAGTCTGTTTGCACACCTTCATTCACGAAAGTGCAAGATTCAACGCATCTTTAAATCGCTGTTTTTGAAGTCTCTAGAGTTGTTGTCCTTCCCTTCCATTGTGGTTTAGCTATTTCTGAGAATTGTGTGCTGAAGCTTGTGGTTAATCTCGCCTCACAGTTACAAAGCGCAAAGTAGAGGAACTCCCATCTATTCAAGTAGCATCCTTAAACAAGTGGAGTAGTTTAGGATTACTTTAGGTAGCAGCAGTTTGGTCTTTGTACTATATTAGCACTCACTCCCGAGTGGCTCCAGGAAAGTCAGCTACTGAGGTTTACCCAGATTACCGGTACTTAAGCAAGGCTTCTGTCTCCTTCCCAGGTCAACCCTGAAAAACTTTTTTTAATGTCCAACAACAGAAACTTTCCATGATCTCTTATTAAAGGTCCCAAGATTAGCGTGTTAAGTGATTTATAAATAACCTTACATTTAATTTATTATTTTAATTAATGGTTTGCTCTCCCACCACCTCAAATTAAATTCATTTGAGTTTCAGTTTTTTTCCTTTGTGTTGATTCATGGTGGAGCTCCTACAAAAAATAGCCACACACAAAAAAGTGGTTTTACTGCTGTGAGTGTAAACTCTACAGAATTCAATCACTTACTTGCATTTTTTCTTTAAAACAATATGGAGTAAAAGAGAAGGAAAAGAGGGAATAATCTGAAACTGGATAACCAGTATCAAAGTAATAGTGTTAACAATACTTTAAAAATAAAAATTAAATTTAAAAAACCATGGTGGGAGCAACCCACATGTCCATCAGGAGATAAATGGATACAACAAAATGTGATATGAAATACAACTGAGCATCATTCAGCTTTAAAAAGGAAGGAAAATCTGACAAATGCTACAACATGGATGAATGTTGAAGACATTATTCTAAGTGAAATAAGCCAGTGACAAAGGAGTTGGGGGAGAGGGGAATGAGAAATTTGTGTTTAATAGATTGAGTTTCATTTCAGAAAGAAGAAAAAGTTCTGGGGATGGATGATGGTGAAGGGTTGCACAATGCTGTGACTATATTTAATGCCACTTTAAAATGGTTGAAATGGCAAGTTTTATGTTATGTATATTTACTGCAATTTTTAAAAAAGATTAAAATTTAAAAGGCAGAGCTTCTAAGCTTTTGGAGGGGAAAGGAATTTTGCATTTTAGTTCCTAGTATAATCAAATTAAGCCCAAATTTCTTTTCCTTCTAATTACTGTCTTTGGGTAAATCATTTGACTTCAGTTTCTTCCACTGGAAAATGAGGTTCCTACCCCAGGGGCTCATAAGAGATCATATGTGCCAGGTACACTTTGCAAACTGTAAATCCCTGCACAAAAAATGAGTTAATTGAAATTAAACAATAACTAATAGCTTCCATTTGTTGACTGCTTGTCACTGTGCTAAGAGTTTAATGTATACTGTCTCATTTAATCAGAACAGCAACTTTATGAACCAATTTTTTCTATTTACAGACAATGAAACTGAGACTTAGAGAAGTTAAGTAATTACTTATGGCCATATAGCTAGTAAATGACAAAACTGCCCTTAGAATACAGATCTGTTTCCTACACTGGTGCTCTCAACCACTGTAAAAATTATATTCTTAGTAGTTGCAAGGTCACTTTTGAGACTTAATCTTAGCAAATGCCCTTAACTGCTGACATCTTCAACTTAGCAGTGAAAACCGTATTTGTTACACTAAGATTTGTTAAGGTAGACAATCTTTTAAGAATTTGCAGAATATTTCTCTTTCATTTTTGTCTTTTGTCACTTATTTTTTTCTTATAAGAGACTTAATATCCAAATTTCACTTCTTCTAAAATGTATTCATTAGTATTACGTTAGCCATCATTTTTATTTTGCATTTTTAATGTCACCAAGTTCATCATCATTTAAAAATCTTTAGGGATCATTCTGATAAAAATGAAAATTTTGTTAAAACATATGCATTTTGGGTACATAATGCAAAAGTTAATTTAGGGTCCATGGTCACCCATAGTTTTATGGATTGGCTTAAGAAGGTCAGTAAACACCTTGAGATTGTATGAAAATGTTGTGCAGATAAATGTATTTTTAAAATCAGATTCTCAGTGTGATCTTATAAAAAGTTAATCTCTTTCCTAAAAGGAAGTATTATTTCCAAGGCTTGATATGGTAAAGCTCAACTGGTGTGAGCATATCCCTGTCATGCCAGATATATAAATAGCAGCGACTGGTGGGAGCAACTAAAAGATTAAGATTTAGGATCCTAAGTGAAGACCGACTCAAAAAAAAATTTAAGTGTGTATTTGGGGAAGGGGGTACCTTAACACATGACTAGCCTTAGCCAGATGGTTCTGTGGTCACTGCTGAGAACCCACTCATAAGAACTTTTATTTTATTCTCATCTGCTGCCTCAGATTTGCTGTGGGTTTAGAAACCAAGTAACAAACCCTATGAGATCTGTGTCAGAGTAAAAAGGTTGGAGTCCTAGAGTGAGATCCTAGGGGGGCTCTCCTATAGAGAAAGTTCATGACCTTTATTTAGAGTATGGTGTTTAGACACCTTTTTGGTGATTTCACAGGATCATTCTCATTTCTGGACTTTCAACTGTTACATATAAATGAAATTAGAGATCAGCTGGGGTATTACTGTAGTTTGTTGGCGATTATATCATCGTAATTAGATTATGGTCTCCCTTTGTCATTGCATAAAACTCACCAAATATGGGGTTAACTTTGAAGTATCAATGAAGAACATTAAGAACTTATTAAAGTCACTCCAGAAACTAAGAATAGTTACTCTCATAAATTTAAATCCTACTAGAAAAAAAGTATGTAAGCAGCCAAGAGCCTCATGTGATCAAATTTCAGGGGTCTTAGATCAGACTGCTCAAATATTCATGAAAAGTTCCATACCCTTTAAGAATCTGTACATACTTTTCAATAAAATAGAAATCAGAATTTCTGAAAAATATGGGAGCCTGTGTTGTTTTTAGAGAGCCAACATTCAATCCCTGAGAAATGGCCGCTAAGCAAGGGGCCTTCTAGTGTATTGGTATATGCCAGGCAGCTTATCAAATAGGTGGCTATTTTTGTGTCCTACAAAGTTCAGAGAAAGATCAAGAATTATTAGATAAAATGCTGGCAAAGGCTACCATTAAAACAGTGTTCCCCTTTTGAAAACCTCTGATCAGAAATCTTGGAATTTAAGTTCATGGGACATTGCTTGATTTGTTAAACAGGTTACCTTGAACTTTTTGTCCTTGACCTAAAATACTTGTATTTATTACTTGATTTCATGAATGAGTTTGATGTCCTAGCTTCACATCAAGGCTTTCTAAAGCTCAAGCTTAGCACCAGGAGCATATCCAGATGATTATCCAAAATATAAATTTTTGTGAAACTGAAAGGTGGAAACAGTTTTAATTTTTGTGTTAATTAGTAATAGTACTAGTACTCTTTCAGTTCTGTTCTGTAGTTACCCAGGTGACTTCACATGTGCTCATTTCTGAACTTAAGCTTGCATCAGAGTCACCTAGATAACTTACTAAAACACAAATTGCTGCCTGGGCACCTGAGTAGCTCAGTCGGTTAACCATCTGATTCTTGATTTCCGCTCAGGTCGTGATCTCAGGGTGGTGAGATCAAGCCCTGTGTGAGCCTGGGCCTGGAGCCTGCTTAAGATTTTCTCTCTTCCTCTCAGTCTGCCCCTCCCCACCCTTCTCTCTCCCTCTCTAAAAAAACAAAAACAAAAAAACCACAAATTGCTGCCCACACCCCCAGAGTTTCTGATTCTCTAGGTCTGGGGTGGGGATGGATAATTTGCATTTCTAACAAGTTCCTAGATGATGCTGGTCCAGGAACTAACTACACTTTGAGAACCACATCCTTAAAGTATTCCTCTGAGGCAGATTGGGCAAGTCCTCATCCACATTTTGTGGAGTAATAAACTAACAAAATTGAAATGGTGAAGTGATTTTTTTTGCATAGCAGTTACATGATTTGTTATTGGTAGAACTGAAACTAGAACCAGCATTTCCTGTCTCCAGATACAGAGCGTCTACAATGCTACACTGTACTGGTATCTTTGTATACATGTGGGAACATTTCTTTAGATAAATTTCTAACAGTGGAATTTCTGGGTCTAACGGTATGTACATGTTAAAAATTTGATACATACTGCCAAACTGCCTTCTGAAAAGGCTTTGCCAATCTGCTCTTACCAGCTGTGAGAGTATACCTTCACCAACCCTGGTAATATTAACATTAAAGAGCAATTAATTTTTTATTGAACTCCTACTATGTACCAGGCATTATTTTGAATACTGTTTATATTGTCTAATATTTTCTTCTTAAGGGTTAGATATACTCAGTTAACAGATGAGAGGCACAG